ACACACACACACACACACACACACAAACTGGGGAAAAAGAAACCTAACTGGAAGAATTTTGGGTTTTTAAAAATGTTTTTCTCCTTTAGTATAAAGACATTACCAATTTTTTCTTTATATATGTGTGTATATATGTATATACATATATTGATTTCAGAGAGGAAGGGAGAAGGAGAGAGATAGAAACATCAGTGATGAGAGAGAATCATTGATTGGGACCTGCACCCAGGCCTGTGCTGCGATGGGAAATTGATCCTCGACCTCCTGGCTTATAGGTCAGCGCTGAGCCACACTGTCCGGCAGGTGTCTTGTTTTTTTAAGTGTGTGTGTGTGTGTGTGTGTGTGTGTGTGTGTGTGTGTGTGTGAAGAATGCCTCCAGTACATGCTGTTATTATATAACACACTTTTGCTTATACCGCCCAGCAGCCCTTCACCAACTGTGCACAGATGGCCAGTCCTGTTTGCCTTCTGTCTGAGTCCAGCGATTCGCAGAGCTGGAGACATTTCTTCTTATTTCCTCCAATTTCCAGGCGCTTTTCTTCACCGGGGAGGACCTCCAGGGCCCAGCCCCAGCTCCGGTGTCTCAGGGCCATTGCGCTGTGTGACTGCGGCCACCAGAGGGCGCCCGTCTCCGCAGCACCAGGCTTAGCAGGCGGCTTGGCCAGAAGCCAAATCAGTCAACAGCATTCAGCAGGGCTGCCCTGGCCCAGTGAGGGGGCTTTGACCTAGGAACCAGGAGGTCACGGTCACCGCACAGGCCTGGGTTGCGGGCTCGATCCCTACTGGGAGGCGTGCTGGTCAATGACTCTCATCATGGATGTTTCTCTCTCCCTCTCCCTTCCTCTCGGGAAAAAAAATAAAAAAGATTTTAAAATGTAAAGTTTTGGTTTTTCAAATGCAGTTGACCTGAAGCACTGATGAGCGAGGGCCAGAAAAATTAAGCGAAGAAAGACTGAAAGACAACGGGGGTTTTAACGTCAGCTGTAAAAAAAGGACAACGAACAGGTCCCAGTGGCGGATGGTTCGTAACCGCGTTCCTGTAAAGCCGAGGGAGGGTGTTTCTAGAAACCTCGGCCTGCGGAATAACGCCAATAGGAAAAAACGGTTCCTAGTTCATTGTCACACATCCTGAAGGGGGTAGAAGGATGCTTCTTGGCCGAAGCTGTGGGGACAGCAGAAATACATACGTGTACATACATGTACATACATGTACAGCGAAAGCATGTGTCCCTGTGCGTCCAGCATGGGTTGGAGGGAAGATCGCTACTGGACGCCAGGCGTTCCCGCTTGGGGTGCCCTGCTCAGGCGGGAGACGCTGTCCTCCGGCCGTTTCCGTTCCTTCCAGGAAGTACAGGAGACAGGGACTCGCACCCAAGTGAGTCCCAGAGAAGGGAGGCCGGGCCACGGCTTAGCCGCACGGTCTGGTCCGCTCCCTGCTGATGCCTCGTCCGCAGTTGGCGGAACCGACCGGGTGAGGTCAGGTCAAGCCCATCTGGTCAGAGCTGCGTCTGCAAACACTGTGGTGCCTGTGAACACGTAGCAGGAGCTGCCGGACCTGGGCCCGTGTGGGAGCTAACAAATGACCAAGCTGTTGCAATCTAGACGGTAATGTTTCTGGAGCAAAGAAAGACAGTGAAGTCATCTATCAGGGTTTAACGAAAATAGTCCATGAAACCAATTGTAAGAAATTTAGAAGCAGTACAAAGTTACCCCAAATAACATAATCCTATATCATAGAAGGGTAACCTGCAATTCGACTGAACAACGGAATGACCGTCGCTATGGTGCGCAGTGACCACCAGGGGGCAGACACTCAGCGCCGGAGCTGCCCCCCTGGTGGTCAGTGCGCTCCCACAGGGGGAGCTCTGCTCAGCCAGAGGCCAGGCAGCTGTGGTGGCGGGAGCTTCTCCCACCTCCGAGTCAGCGCTAAGGAGCAGCGAGCAGGCAGGTGGTAAGGAGCGAGGGCTCCCCGACTGCGAGAGGGGTCAGGCCGGCCTGAGGGACTCCCCGCACCGAGTGCACGAATTTTCATGCACGAGCCTCTAGTAAGTATATATATGCAAGGCAGAAAAATACAGCAGAAAAAAACATGCAGTACTCCACACAATTCATCATGCATTTATTAAAATATGTGCACTGGATGCTTTTTATATTTTCCTACAGCAATAAGACTGAGGAGCACACATGATTCATAGAGATTATCATTGGCTAGTGGAATGATAGTTTCAGGTTAATTTCTTTTCAACGTTTCTATAGCAAGCACATGGTACATGTATCTTTATCCAACTGAAAAAAAATAGTTGAGATCTCTTTGCCCAAATTGAGTACCTACCAGCACACTTTTGAGCTATATTTGATCTCGTGAGGTACCTGCCCTCTGAGACAGAAGGCTTGGTGCCACGGCTTTGCAACCAAATATATGCAGCAGCAGCAAGAAAGCACAGGCCAGCCCTGGCCAGTGTTGTTGAGTGGTTAGAGCGTCACCCCTTGCACCAAAGGGCCGCGTGTTTCATTCGTGGTCAAGGGCCGGTGTAAGGACCCTGGTCCCTCTCCATACAGGAGACCAGAGGGCGGGGACAGAGGGGCCACTGGAGGACAGAGACGGGGAGGATCGAAAGGAAACGGGTCCGGGAAGTGCGTGCACCTGCGCACATTCGCGGTAGGAGGACGGATGCCCTGAGAGAAGCCGCAGGCTTTGCTCGCAGCTTCCAGAGAATCCCGAGTCCAGCAAACTTCAGGAGCCTCGCTGCGGAGGAAGGAGCTGAGATGAGCCGGCGCGTGGAGTCGCAGGGGCGGGAAACCGAGGCAGGCTCCCCTGCAGCCTGGGACCTACAGAGCCGCAGGGTGTCGGCAGGTAGGAACCAAAACCTAATCGGGGGACTGCAGAGAGCTGGGGTTCCTGGGCCGGCTCCCATCTGCGGGTGCAGGCTGTCCTCCAGCACCAAGGTCACCCGGGCGCCCGCCCTGAGTCTCCTACCGGCTCCTTCCCACGGGGTCTGCAGGCTGCCCCTCATTCACGGTCGGCGAGGACATAGCTCCCCAGGGTCCTTCCTGCAGAGACAAGAATCTGGGCACCACCTTCCCCCTCCCTCACCTCCCTCACCTGCTCACCTCAACTCTGACCTCTCCCTCCCCAAGGAATGCGTTTTTTAAATATCCTATCCTATATAATAAAAGGCTAATATGCAAATCCACCGAAGGCAGAAGCACCAGTCACTATGATGCCCACTGAGCACCAGGGGGCAGACACTCAGCGCAGGAGCTGCCCCTGCTGGTCAGTGCGCTCCCACAGGGGGAGACCCCCTGAGCCAGAAGCCGGGCTCACAGCTGGCGAGCGCAGTGGCAGTGGTGGGAGCCTCTCCCACCTTCATGGCAGCACTAAAGATGTCCGACTGACGGCTTAGGCCTGTGGGGAGTGGGCCTAAGCCGTCAGTCAGACATCCCCTGAGGGCTCCCGGACTGTGAGAGGGCACAGGCCTGGCTGAGGGATGACCACCCCTCCCAGGGACCCTCACACCCCAACCCCGAATGCACGAATTTTGTGGACTGGGCCTCTAGTCTATATATGTTTTTATTGATTTCAGAGAGGAAGGGAGAGTGAGAGAAACATCAATGATGAGAGAGAATTATGGACCGGGTGCCTCCTGCACGCCCCCTATTGGGGATCGAGCTTTCCTTCTGCAGAAACCCTGTCATTCCTGTTCCCCCAGGGGAGCCAGTGCCTCCAGGGAGCAGGTGCCCTAGGCCCTCCCCACCCCAGGCCCTGCCCATGTCCTGCAGAAGCCCCACACCCTGGGCAGACTTCCTCCATCTTCCTACTCACGGGAAGCCTGCCTCCTCCGCAGGAATCTGAACAAAACCCCAGTGAAGAAGATGACGATGATGACACTCATGAGGGTCCCGCAGATGACGCCAAAGACCAGGGCGCCCGACATGGAGGGCTCTGAAACGCAGCAGCCAGTGGGCGCCGGGGAAGCCGGGCCCAGGGCACCCCCTCCTGCTCAGGGCACCCCTCCCGCCCAGGGCACCCCTCCCATCTAGAGCACCCCTCCCATCCAGGGCACTCCTCCCATCCAGGGCACCCCTCCCATCCAGGGCACCCACCCCTCCCAGGGCACCCCCTCCTGCCATGTGGACCCCTCTGTCCCATTCTCGACGGGTGTCCTCGCCCCAGCTGGTCCGTACCCCAGGTGGCAGTGAGGGGCTGCTCCAGGCCGGGGTGCTGCACCTGGCAGGCATATCTCTGCTCCTCCCCAGGGGGCACGGCCAGGGCCACCTGGGCCTGGTAGGTCCCGTCCCCGTTGGGCAGCAGGTCCATGGGCTCCGCGTCCTTGGCGTCCAGGGGTTGCCGGTCCTTCAGCCACGTCATGGTGACGTTGGGGGGGTAGAAGCTCAGAGCCTGACACCGCAGAGTGGTCGCTGCCGAGGCCACACGGTGCGTCACCCGCACCGAGGGGGGCACTGGGAGAAGGAGGAGTGTGTGGGAGGGGACCCCGCCACCCTCCCCAGGAGCACCCCGACGTTCACTTCCCTCTGCTCCATGTGGGAGGAAGGACACCCTGCGCAGGCCCCGCTGCAGACACCCACATGTGTCCCTGCAATGTGCCGAGCCCTGGCCGGTGTGGCTCAGTGGGTAGAGCATCGCCCTGCGGACCAAAAGGTCCCGGGTTTGATTCCGGTCAAGGGCACGTACGGTGGCTGCCCAGGCCTGGGCCCCAGTTGGGGCGGGTGTAGGAGGCAACTCATTGATGTGTCTCTCAGATCGATGTTTCTCTCTGTCTTTCCCTCTCTCTTCCACTCTCCCTAAAAATCAATGGAAAATATCCTCGGGTAAGGATTTTTTTTTTAGTTTTTTATTGATATTTTACAGAGAGGAAGGGAGAGGAATAGAGAGTTAGAAACATGAATGAGAGAGAAACATTGATTAGCTGCCTCCTGCACATCCCCTACTGGGGATGTGTCCGCAACCAAAGTACATGCCCTTGACCTGAATCGAACCCGGGACCCTTCAGTCCGCAGGCCGACGCTCTACCCACTGAGCCAAACCAGTTAGGGCTCGGGTGAGGATTTTTTTAAAAAATGTTCCAAGATGCTCTCCGAGGTGTGTCCCGGGAGGAGTCATGCCCCTCAGCCTGGGGCGCTGTCCCTCCTGTCGGATGCCCACCCGTGGCCCGTCTTCCGCTCTGTGAGCCTATTAGGTTCAATCCGGTAAAACCACCTTCACGGGCATGAAATGACTGAATGCGCCTGTCGGCAATCTCACCTGGCTCAACCAGCAAGTGTTCTTTTTATATGTAACTATTTTCATGTGTTTTCATTGATTTTTAGAGAGAGAAGAAGGGAGAGGGAGAGGAAGGGCCAGAGGTATTCTTGTAAGACAGTGGCCGGCAGGGCCCATGGCCACGGCTGTGAGAACCTGCATTGGCCTCAAGGCTGCGGCCACTCTGACTGGCTGCCTCCTCGCCCCACCCCCACCCCCAGCCCTGCCGCCGGGTAATTTCTTGTTTCTTTGGTTTTCCTGTGATATTTGACGTTTCTGATCCTAAAAGGCACACATGCTCCCAGGCCCAGGGTTCTTGCTTAAATTGAGAGCAGATACATCGTTGGCTACATGCAAGGTGAACCCGGAATGACAGCCACGACTCATGGCCGTGTGACGGTCCCACGGAAACGGTGGAGCCGCCCTGGCTGGGGTGGGTCTGTGGTCAGAGCTGAGGCGCTGGCCACTAAGGCTGCGGGTTGATTTCCAGCCGCGGGCACGTACCTGGGCTACAGGTTTGATCCCCGCCCCAGTAGGAGTGCGTGCAGAAGGCAACCAACCCCTCTCTCCTCTCTCCTCTCTCTCTCTCTCTCTCTCTCTCTCTCTCTCCTCTCTATCTCTCTCCTCCCTCCCTTCCACTCTCTCTAAAAAAGCGAGGGAAAATATCCCTGGGTGAGGATGAACAAACCAGCAAAGGGTGGAGACCTTAGAGCAGGAACCTCAGCTCCGCCGGGAGCTGCCTGGAGAGGCCAGC